CCGCTAACAAGATGGAGATCGACCATGTCCTCGTCAGACCGTGTGTGTGTGAAGAGATGTGGAATAGAGCAGCTTCGCTCTTAGCGACGTTGATTGTTGGGCTGTGCTCGGCAGCCCATGTGGCCACAAAAGAGACAAGAGCGGTCGCATTGCCGCAGCACAGGCATGGATGTCCGCACCTGAAGCAACAAGTGTGTGTTCGTCAGCGTACATGAAAGCGGAGGCAGAATAGATGCTGCCCAGGCGGCGCAGCAGATCATCCACACAGTAGAGGAAGAGTTGGGGTCGCGGGACGCCGCCTTGCGGTGCTCCAGCTGAGGCGAGTTGTTTCCGGGAGTGCTGTTCGCGAGTGCATACCCTAACATAGCGGCCCCGCAGGTGGTTGTGCAGCCAGCGTTTGGTTCGAGGCCAAGGCGCGGAAGTCTGTCAAGCATGCAGAATAACTTCCCATGGTCAGTGGTGTCGAACGCAGTCGGAAAATCAATCGAGACCACAAGCGATGGCGACGAGGGCGTCGTGTGGGGGCGTCGTCTCCAGGGCGCTCATGCTCCACAATGCCAAACTCATTCAGTCCACGAGTAATTTGTCGATAACAAGTGCCACCACGTCCGACGTAGAACGCGGAGGTGCAAATCCAAAATTGACGTGGGTGGTGCGGCAATAACGCTGACAGACGGCGGTGAACCATTCCTTCGGTTAACTTTGGTAAAACAGAGAGCAGCGTGATGGGTCTGTAACTCTCTGGGCGGCATGGGTCCTTCCCAGGCTTGGGATAGAAATAGCGTCTCCCATTTTCCAGGAGCCAGGGAGGCTGCCGTTTGCGAAGGAGTTGTGGATCATCGTTCTAAGTGTGCCACGCGCAACGGGCCCGAGACGGTGCAGGAATTCATTCAACATGTCGTCGGGGCCAGGGGCTGAGCCAAGCAAAGAGTCACGGATGGTCACGTCAATTTCATACGGTGGGAAAGGCCGATCCATTTCCCAGCCACCAGGAACCAAAGGAGTGCAGCAAGCAGCAGCAGTATAAGGCGGTATGGCACGTGAAACCGCACAAAATGACAGACAAGCAGATTTGCCTGTTGCCGAGGCAGGGCGCATACGCGGCCAAGTTCAGTGCGGAGCACAACCGATTCCAGAGGATGAGGGTGCGGCGCCGCCACGCCGTGAAGATATCGCCACCTCGGGCTGAGTGAGGCTCCAAGTCCTTTCGCGCGGGCCTCCAGAAGCACAGCGGAGCAACGGCGTAAGGCTTGATTTCGTTCCTCCTTTTTTCGGGTACATTCGGCTCAAAGTAGGCTGTCTCCGGGTGAGGCAATGTGTGTGCTTCGTGTGCTGCCTCGGCGGCGGACTCGGCCTGTTCCATTTCGTGTGTCCATATCTTTTTGGAGCTGTCACGGCTGCCGCGCGGGATATGGCGCTCAGCTGCTCGTAAGATGCCTCCGCGAGGATCCAACCATGTGGACGCGGTGGCAAGGAGGGTTTCACACAACGATGTAAAAGCAGGCCAACCCGCTTTGCGCAGGGCAAAGGTGGCTTTCTTCCGTCAAGGCAGCGTGTTTGCTAGTCGTGGAGTGACATCGTCCATCTCTACCAAGTAAGATATTAAGCAGTGGTCCGAGTCCATGTAAGGAGCGAATGTCCAGTGGGAGACGCGTAGGGCGCAATACGCAGCCACGTCAGGGGACGAGGCATTACGATGTGTGATCCGTGTTGCCTGTGTCGGGTAATTTGCCAGCCCAAAATCCATATCGATTAGAACAGCGGCGAAATCATCGCCTCCAGTCCTTGATGGTGTATATGACTGTCCCAGAGTTCACGATGTAAATTCAGGTCACCCGCGATAATCTCTTCGGGCCCAAGCGACAAACGATATTGATAAATGCGGATTATTGACCAATTGCTGTGGGAGGGTTGTAGAGATTCGCCACGCAAATGCTGCGACAGCCCGGCGGAAATACACGGACAGCAATGGTCTCCAGGAGGTCAGTGCCAGGGAGCGACAGGCGCTCGCACGGTGGAGAGTGGCGCACAAGAACGGCAACGCCACCACCGCGCCCAGTGCGGCCTGGAGGCAGTCATTATGGCCACATAATTTCGTCGCCACGCCACCACGGTTACTTATTTCCTGCAGAAGAACGGTGTCAGGTGGACGCTGCTCCAATCGCGCCGCAAATGCAATCTTTTTCACGGACGAGAGGCCTGCAATGTTGAGCCGCCAAATATTGATGTGGCCATCCTCCTCGGGCCAGGGTTCTTGTGAACGTCACCGCCACGGGCGATATCAACGGAGTGACCGCTGCGAAACGGTCGTGCAGTTCTGTCCGACAGTCTGCAGGCAGACCGCCTCACCTCCCCGCACCGGACATGGCGTGGAACCTTCTCGAGAGGTGAAGTCACCTTGGTCTCCGTCGTGCTCGCAGCAACGCCCTGCTGCGGAGTTCCTATACGCAACCAAAGCCCAACACCGCGACAAGGTGCAGCATCATCGCTGGGGACCGTGGATACTTACGAAGAATAGCGGTGTCGGCATTCCCACGTCAGCCGGGATTGGCATACTGCTCTCATCCCTGCATTCCTCGGAGATAATAGAGAAGGTCAGTACCAACGGCGGCACACGCCCATGCAGCCGCACGACGGAATCCCGTGCACTGCTCCCGGCCATGGAAAGGCTGAGTGTCCATCGTATCCAGCACAGGCAAAAACCCTGCTTGTGGTTACAGACAGTCAGTCCCTTCTAGCCGCCGTCACCAAGGGCCCGCACAGTCATACCGACTGGACGGAGGATCGGATCTGGCAGCGTCTCTTGTCGCTGACGTGTGCCGGCCGGTCCGTGCAGCTGCAGTTTTGCTACGAACATCGCGGAGTACACGTTAACGAGCCTGCAGATCAGCATGCGACGCAGGCCACGGCAACCGGGCAACACACGGAGCATGGAATAGCACCCATACGGCACACGGACCTGCTGACATGCATTAACACCCAGCTCACCAACAAGTGGCGTAGTACCATGCATCAGGACACCCACCACTACCTGCTTGGCGGCGCCAGGCCATCAGATCCAGGCGGCAAGCACCTGATCACTCAGGAAGCCCTCGACCAACAGGAACGGATACACACTGCATGGGAAGGGTGCGGGGAATCCGAGCTATGGGGTCGCCTGTACTGGACTGTGAGAGACTGCACGAACCAACGCCGTTTCCGCAACATCTCACCGGAACACTCCGCTTTCATGCGCTCCAACGACGATCCCACCGCACCGGGACGGACGCTGTTCCCCGGACGACAAGGGAGGCCGACGCACCGCCTGTGGAGAGACGGCCCTCCACACAGCGTCGGAAGAAGAAATGTTCGCACTGCGATGCCACACTGGTGGAACACACAAACCACATCGGCCACTGTCGGTGCTTTCATCCGGAACGCCCTCCACCGCTTCCCGACATCCACCGCGATTGCTGTGACACAGTCCTCCCCACACACAAAAAAGCACCGCACAGCACAGAAATCGCTGCGCACAAAACCCGGACGCTACTCGGCACCGCAGCAGCAGTGCCAGGAGGCAATCACTGCTACCGCAGGATCAGCCAGCCTCCACAAGCACGCCAATTAGCCCGCAGAAAACGCTGCACCATCTGCTTCCAGAATGTACAGACGCTCTGGCTGTGCGCCAACGGCTGGGCATCAAGAAGGACCTTCGCACCGAAAGCTTCTCCCAATGGCAGCTGCCTCATGGCAGGAAACTCATGTCGCTGCTCGACCATCCCCTCGTCACCCTGATGACATCGTGCGGCTAGACATGTCGGTAAGAGAAAAATAATAATAATAATGAGCATTCCCGCCACTGTAGAGACGTGGTGCATCTTGCGATCCCGCTGGCGGCTCTCCTGTTCCACCGCTGTTTTTGCGCAAGAGGTCACCACAGTCATTTTTGTGGTTTGGTCGGCCTCGTGTTGCGCTCCGGGTTCTCCTCCTTCATCGCCCTGCGGTGCTTCCTTCGCCGTCCCTGGCACCTGTGACTGTCCCGTGACGGTTTGTTCCGAAGCCCGACTGCCCTGGGAGGTCCTCCCGCCACCAGCATGCACTCCACCCGCTGCCTGCTGAGATGCGTCGGAGCGTGGGGATATTGTGCCTGCGGCGTGCCCTCCGCCCAAAGACTCCGGTCCACTTGCACGCATCCGAGCAGCAGACGCGCTGCCAGTGCCGGACGGATTGCAAGTGCCACTTCGCAGTGGGTCGCTGCTGGATTGGTCCTGTCTCGTCGGAGCAGTGAGTGGTCCTCCCGAGGTGGGATTGGGGTCCTCACCCTCAATGCTTCCTCCACCCTCCTCGTCTTCCTGATTGCTATTGCCCTCAGAGTTCACATTCCCCCTTCGTCCAGAGCCACCGGCCACGGGTCCACCTTCCGCAGCCATCACACCCCGTGCGTGCCCAGCAGCCACTGCGCCATCACCCGCGGGCAGCACACGCACCCCGTCGCAGCAGCCGTCACTCACACGCACGAGCAGCTGCACATCACTGCAGGAGCCAACAGGGCGCAGAGCACACGGCCAGTCATCATCACAAACAGTGGAGTCGCCTAACGCTGCGGAACCAACCTGCGATAGCACGAGACAAACAAAGGGAGACACCGCCGCTACACCACGCACAGCAACAAATGGCAGCACCCCAGCAGCAGCAGCGCACACACCACGAGACAGATGGAATCAGTACGACTGCAGAGCTCGCACACCGCACCGCAAACCACAAGTTTAAAAAGCAATAATTAAAAAAAGAAATTAAAAAAGAAAACAAACCCAGGGCTCCAGTGCGCATGCTTATGAGTGTGTCCGCGATGCGTTCAACGTGACGGATGCGGGGCACAACGCGGAGCACACAGCACGGCAGCGGAAGCAAGTGAAGCAAAACAAGATCATTATTTTCTCTTATTTTATACAGTGAACCACAACACACGCGCACAAATCCCCGCGGTTGAGTGCTGGCACGCACAGCCCGCACACACCTCTTCAGCCCACAGCGGTGTACGCCAGCGCGGATGCGGCGAGCACCAGCGGGGCACACACCCACGCAGAGCTGCTGAGGCTGCCGTCGATTCTGCGAAGACGCGACGGTGCGCGGGTGGTCGACACAGCTGGCGCCTCTGTAGTCGTAGTACTGGGTGCCTGTGTTGTAGTGGTGGTCGTCGTGGTTGTTGCAGTCATTGTGGTCGTCTCAAAAGAAGCTTCGGCTTTATTAACGTCTTTGTCCGTAGATGTACCGGCACCAATTTCTGATTCTTTATTGCCGTTCGTAACCTCTGTCAGTGATGTATTTGACACGTTATTTACTTTTGGTCCCGGATCGGCTAAACGTGGCGCTTCTGCCTCAATTGTTTCCGCAGCTGGCTCAGTGGCTGAATTTTTAGCAGCCTGACCGTTCCCTGGGATTCCTCCTGTTTCAGGGCCCGAACCTGACAACCCTGACTGACCGGCCGTCGGGGTTGGTGGCTGTGGTGGAGGGGGCGGTGGAACGGGGGCGGCTTGAGGCCCAGGCTGAGCGTCTGCCCCGCACACGGACGGGCAGCAGCAGTACAGGGCGAGCACCAACAGGGCGCACAGCAGACGGCACGTCATCATCATCGTGAGTGTGGTCGTTCAGTGGTGTGGAGCTGATCTGCACAGTGAGGGACATGGAGAGCAACAGGGGAGACGAGAGGTGCGGCAGACACACACAGAGGGCACACCACATGAGGAGAGGGCAGCAGCCAGGCATGCACCGTGCGCCGCACACCACGCACAGCACACACTCTCCAATCCACGGCAGCAGGCACACACACACAGCCCTGCACTCAGTAATACTTGTGTTGTACAATTGTTGTAGTCAGTGCATGCGGTCACACAGAAAAGGAACGAGAAAGAGGAGACCACTACGGCTACACACCAGAGGGTCGAAAAAGGCAAGAGGGCCGCGCCGCGTCGGCAGTCGGTGCGTCACTTGTCTGCGGACCAGGCGTCGTGCGCGATTGGTGTCGCTCATCGTGAAACATACGTCCTCGTAGCCCCAGAGGGTGGAACAGCCAGCGCCAACCCAAACACAGCTGTAAACAAGCCATTGCCACAATCGTGAAGAGCCGGCTGGCACCACACACGGCAAGAAGGACACACCAAGACACGCCATGCACCAAAGGGGCGCATCAAGCCCGCAAACAGTGCGCACCGCTCCAACACCGCAGGGCCCTCACGCACGCACCATCCTCCTCCTTCCTTATCTTCGGCTCATTGCTGCCACATCCGACACCCGCACCTCACAATACCAGAGGGAAACACAAAACAGCTGAAGCAGCAACAACAACAAAACTGCCACCTTGTTGCGCTGACGCCACTGCACGAAAATATGCGCCGGCGACGGGAGTCCATAGCGCAAGAGACGGAAAAGAGCCCAGCGAGACACCCAGGAGCCACACGTTGGCAGTCTTGTCGGGGCTGCCTCAACGCAACCACAACAAATAGTGCCGCAACCACGGAGCCATGCACCCTGACCCACAGCGTGTTCTCACAATCAGAACAGCAGGGACAGAGGAAATTAAGACACACTACCCACAGTGCAGCAGAGCACCCGAAACACACACAGCAAATCAAAAACGGATGCAAAAAGCCGGGAAGACAAAAAAATAAAAAGGGCGCATACAGATTGAAAGCCGAAGCACAGAAATTATTTGAGGTCCACATTCTCGCAATGACGCACAAAAAAAAAAAGCAAATCCGCAAAACCAAGCAAAAGCGTAAAAGATAAAGCCGCATGCACCAATTACGGAGGCAGAGGCAGTCGTCCCTGTCCTTCAGAGAAACAGCTGCTTGCACGCCCTCGCTTCCATTGGAGCACATTTCCTTTACTTTTTGCTCATGATTAGAGTACAGTGATTTCCCCTCGTCCCAATCGCATCAAAAAACGCGTGTATACATGTGGTGCTTGGAACTGTCTTTTCTCTCCATGTTACTTCGTTCACACACAGTTTTCACGGAAGTTAAACCCTCTAAAAAAAAACACCTTTTCCCAGAACAACAAACAATGCAATAAAAGACCGGTCATTTTGCCCATCGCCCGCAAGCAAAGAAGGACATGGGGAATGCAGTGAGTGTATTATATTGTTATTGCCACGGTTTGCACGTCTTGAGTGCGGGGCCAATGTGCCAAGTAAATACTGTCGCCCTGCCGCAGTTTCATTGCGCCCAGCCGCTGCGGCTGCTAAAAGAGGCACCACCACTACCGCCGCAGCAACCACAACAAGAAGCACAAAGGGAACGAGGCCAGCGGTAGCAGCAGCTACACAACAATCACTGTCGGCCTGCTGTACCAACGCATCGGGTATCGCCTGAAAATCGTCGCTGTTGACGGAAGGAATCGGAGTGGCAGGCGCGGAGGACTGGGAACCATCGCTGGGCAATCCGCCCGCGGGTCGCCCTCCGCTCGTGCAACGTCTTCGCCGGGCGATGGCGCAAAAAAAGCGTCGCGGCCGGAGGCTCTGTTGGCTCCCTCGCTTCCACTGCCAGGTCTCCTCCCTCGCCGCTGAGTGTTGTCCTCACTTTCGGCCCGCACCCCCGGATCACCCCTCGGACCGGCATGAAGGCCACCACCAGCGACACCCGCAGCCGAAGCACCGGGAGGCTCCTTCTCAATGGAGGCACCAGACGCCACAGGAGACAACTGTGGACGAGTTTCTCCGGAGAAGGCGACCCTGAAGCAACCGCAGACTCTTCTGCTTCCTCCTCTTCCTCGTCACCCTGTCCACCCACCAACGCACTCGGAATGACAAGACTGCTGCCGTTCGCGGCAATGGTGCACACCTCGCCGTAAGTCGGGGACTTGATCTTCCCACCTTTCTGAAAATATTTCAACGCCACTGGGATGTCAGTGTCCTCAGTGCAAGGCTGAAAAACACTGCTGCCGAGGTGCCTCACCCTCACTGTGCCCTCCTCACACGACACCTGCGCGCACACTCCCTTGACGCTTTTATGGCCATCACCGTCCTTTGTCTCCAGTAATTCCGCATCCAGGCACCACGAGCCACCGCCAGTCAGCGACCCACGGAGATAATCCACATTTTCGTCCGAGCACGCATTGTAAGTTGTCCCAGACGATATTTCGTGAAAGTACGAAGATACGACAGGGCAAACATCCTTATCCACCAGACTCCCCTTGTCCTCAACGATGGTTGCGGTGCACTTCCCGACGTGACGGCGGTCAGAGGTGCAGCGAAGTGTCTCTGTGTCGGTAGCATCGCAGAACATGTGAGGATACTTGGCGGCAAGATTATCGGTTGTATTGCACTTGTTGACCAGGAAGTCGCAGCCACTGCGGTGGCCCCAGCTCATCGGCTCCGCCATCCTCCAATTCACGCGGCATTACCCCATATCCGCGAACACCGCCATCGTCAGAGCCGTGTAGTAGCCGGCACCAACTGTGGGCGCCATCAGCTCGTCCCGCGCGTGGCGTTCCTTCCAGTGAGGGATCTTTCTTGACGATGCACCATCTTCGTCCTCCAGCTCCATGCCCTCGAGAGAGCCACAACCAAAGTGCGCTTCCGCCTTCTGAACGTGCTTCCCTGCCACCATCCTGCGGTGCGTCCCACGCATACTTCTCTCTCGCTTCTTCACCAGGCTCTTTTCTCTCATGCTCTCCTGGCTGAACCCAAGTGCATGCGCAATTTCGTGTGCGGCAACGCGAACGCTCCACGCCGTGTCAGTCATGTACTTCGGATCAAAGTTCATGGCGCCAATGTAGGCGCAAAAATCACTCCATGTGATACACGTGGCCGCCCACACAGCCCTGCTTTTAGTGCCTGATGGCATAGCAGCGGCGTAGATGATAAAATCTGCATTCGGCACACCGTCACTCTTGTGTCTGGTAGGAACCGTAAAGTGGCTGCACGGTCCATTCATGGCCCTCGGTACAGTTATCGTCCCACCAGTGGGTTTCACAAGTAGCCGCTCAGCGTGCAGTTTGACGGCACCGTGGGGAATCTTTCCAGTGTACAATTGTTTATTTTCTTCCGTCAAGACATGCTCTGCTTTGCATAATACCTTTTGCCCCAAGGCTTTGCGGCACTCATCCTCTCCCTCTTCGCAGTACTTCTTCCTCTTGTTCGTGCCTCTCTCCAGATCCTCCGTGAACACCGCCATGCGGATCGGCCTCCAGTCACTGTCGTCATCCTGTGTGGCGACGATGTACGCCTGCATCGCGCCCTGTCCCTTGCGCGGCACCTCACGCACCACCGCAGTCGGCAGCGGGCCGTTCCTCCTCCTCTTCACGTCAAACCCACAGCGGTACTGTGTGGCGGGATCAGCAGCGGCAATACATCCACTGGCGCAGTACATCAGCAGCAAAACCACGAGTGGGAAAAGTGGTGTGGCGTGGCGTTGCTAACGCATGACCTGAGGAAAATGCATTTCTTTGTTTTCGTGTGAGTAGCAGCAGCAGTAGCAGTGCAGCCTGGCTGCGGGAGGAGAGAGGAAAAGAAAAAAAAGGGAGAAAAAGACAACAGTTTATTGCCAGTGATGCGTCAGGATGCGGAACAAACAGCGGAGTAACAGGAGACCACAGAGGCAGCCACACACACCGCGTGCGCACCGACTCCATCAAATGGAAAAACCGTCAATCCGTCGTCGAGAAAATGTCCATCACCGTCGCACAAAGTCCTCACCAGCCGCAACGCTCCCTGCACGCGGAGTGTTTGGTCTGCTCTCCTTGTGGTGTCGCAATATTTGTGTGACCGGCCACGCAACAGCCACCATTTGCACAGCGCCCGTCCCACGTGCAGGAGCATCGCACAGCGCTCCCCCAGCAGATCATACCCTGTTGTATAACCGCACGGCAACTCCAATTGTGATGCGCAGCCCTGAGGCGGAGATGCAAAGACGCATGCGGACGGACCTCCTTTCACTGCTCTCCTTTCGGGGAACTCGACAACAAGCATGCCGGCGGTGCGATCATTATGACAGTTCCATCCGCACTGCCACTGGCCAAGGAAGTTGCTGTGAACTCACTGCGTAGAGGTCACCGTGTCCGCAGCTGCTCTCCCGCCGCCCCACGACCACGCCGGCACCTCCAAAAGAGCAGATCGGAGCGTCGACAAGGGCAGCCACGGGCGCCAACGCACCGAATCCAATGGTGCCAGCTGCGACATTCCAAAGCGCGCCGAGAGCTCCTCTAGCAGTGCAGGGGCTGCCCACTTGTGTGCAACATGGCGTGTGTGTGCATTTGCATGTGCTTGTGTGTTTGGCAGCGCCTATACTTGCAGAGCAGCTGCGCGGCACAAGAGAGTGTAAATAAAGCAACGACAGAGAAGGATAGCAGAGAAGCAAATTACTCACATCATCACACACACACACACACACGCAGCCACGGAATGGGTGCACTCAACCACAAAATCAAAAAGGAAAACAAAACAAACAGCCGAAGCGTGGGACGACCAGCGCACACACACTCTCATTACTCCCGTAAAGCAAAACACGCACACAGAGGGAGAGAGAGAGAGGTCGCCCACTCAATGCAATAAAAACAAAACAGAAACAGTTACGGTGCTCCGCCCATGCAGCCAGGCAGGACGGCAGCGGTGCGTGTCGTGCAAAAGAGAGCACCA